GACCCAACCGGACATTTGCCGGCCTTATAAGTGGAGGAGGGGCCAGGAGCCACGGAATGCAGGAAGCTTCTAGAAGCTGGAAAAGGCAAGGAAGAGACTCTCCCCTGGAGTATCCAGAAGGGAACAAGCCCTACAAACATCTTGATTTTAGTCCAGTGAGACCCATTTCAGACTCCTGACCTCCAGAATGGTAAGATAATAAACCTGTGTTGTTTGAAGCCATTACGTTTATGGTAATTACAGCAGCACTAGGAAAGGGGTAGCTAAAGTCAAAAGTAATTTCTTTCTTCTATGTAATGAGTAATAGTAATTCTTTCTACACTTAAAATGAATGTGGACAAGGACTAGAGGATGGTGTAAATGAGAAAGTCAAAGACTGCTAGTGAGACTGTCGAAGATTATTTTTCTTATTTAGAGTTTTCTAATGTGCTAAAATGTGGTGTGCAATTCGAATAGTCAAGACCACAAAGTGTATTTAGAACAGAATAGAATTTAATGATAAGGTCAATTTATCTACTTTATGGAAGGAATTAGAATTAATCTGATGTAAATGAACCCAGTCATTATCCCTCCCTCTGCTTCCAAGTGAAAATATTAAACATTGACAAAAAGTCTGCACAATTTTCAGTTTTCTCCAACTTCCGTGTCTGAGTTAGGTTGATCAGAGTGAGGTTTTCCCAGAAGACGGGAAAGCAAAAACAAGCATAACAGTGATGGAGCATTGAAGCTAAGAAGGGGAAGGAGGTACATAAGGGAGTTGTAGCCAGAGAAAAAGTAATGGGGCCAAAGACCTGCTTAAGAGGCACTTAACGTGAGCTTTAAAGAGAGACGGTGGTGGTCAGAGTGGGGGATGGGTGCTTGAAATAAAAATTTTGGAGGTGGTGCATGACCACACCGTGGATAAGGACAATGGAGGGAAAGATGCCTTGTGTGGCCAGGATGTTGAAATAAAAATGAGGTTGAGGACTGGCCAGTGTGGCTCAGTTGGGTGAGCATCATCCCAAGCATTGAAAGGTTGCCAGTTCGATTCCTGGTCAGAGCTTGATCCCCGGTAGGGAAGGCAAAGCAGCCTATTGATGTTTTGCGTTCTCTCTCTCTCTCTCTCTCTCATAAATAAACAAATGAATGAATAAGTAGAATGAGGACAAGGAGGTGGAGAAACAGTGAGTCAGGAGCTACCATCTTCAGCCAGATTTATAAGGTGTGAGGAGAAAGACAGCTCCTGTTTGAGGACCATCCACCCCACCCCACCAGCCTTTCTCTGGGCCCGTCCTTTCCCCACCTCCCTTCTACCGCTGGCCCACGTTAGGCCCGGCCAATAGTGAACTCCCAGTCACTGTCCCATACAGCATGCTCTTTCTAAGCCCTCTGATTGATGTACTCGCCCCACCTCATAGGCAAACTCAACTCATCACACTAACTTCATCCAGACTTGACCTCCTTTAGGAAGTCTTCCATGAGCCCCTCCCCTTCCTTCCCCACCAAGGCTCTCTCCTCTGGGGTGCCTCTGTACGCTACATCTATTTCTACTGTTATACTCATCACCCTGTTTACCAAGGCAGGAAGCTGTATTTAATTTCTGTATCTGCAGAACCTAGCAGAGTGCCTCATAGGCATGATAGGCACCCAAGATGTTTGACGAATAAATGAAGCCCAAGCAGAGGGAACAGCATTTTTGAAGTTCCCAGAACAAGAAAATTTTGTGTTTTTTTTGAGAATTCAAGTTCCCTCCTCCCTCAAGGCCTTTGCACATATTGTTCTCCTTGCCTGCTAACACTTGCCCCATCTCCTGCTTCACCTGGCAAACCCCTCTACTTAATAAATACTTAATAAGCTATTTGTGATCATCATTCAAATAGGATTCTGTTGTGATTTTCTATCAGTGAAGGTGAGCCACTCACTATTGGGTATTCTATTACTCTGACAGCCTTAGAAATTACAGAATTTTCCTCTAAACCTGTATATCACAATAGGTTCATTTATAGAGGATTTAATGTATGCCAGACAATGTGCAAAAAGCGTTACATTTAATTTTCACAATACACCTGACAGGGCAATATGACTTACATTCTCCTTTTACAGGTGAAGCAACAGAAACTCAGGGAGGTTGTGGTGCTCCCAGTAACTCAGCTAGCAAGTGGGAAAGTGGGAATTTAAATCCAGACCAACATTAATCACCGCACAGTATTTTCCAAAGTTTGCACCACCTGAATCCAAATCACCTGGGATGCTTGTGCAAAAGGAGGTTCCTAGCACCACCCTGATCTCACTGAACATCAAGGCAGGCACGACGCCCCAAACTGTCTTAAACAAGCTCTCCGGATGATCTTTATGCACATGCAAGCTTGAGAACCACCGCTCGGCCTCATGCAGAAACTGGAGAAAACTACTTCACTTTTGAGGGCTGCAGTGGCAGCTTCTGAATTCCTATATAATAAACAGGGTTTGTGACTAAGGGTAAGACTGTGGGATGTGTCTGGAAGAAGAATTTGCACAGTAAGCATCCTGTTTTTGCTTAGAGTGAAGGAAATCTGAACTTCACGGGGTGCCTGGGAACGGTGGTTAGCTGATGGAGATAACGGAGGGGGTGAATCTAGAAGTCCCAGGCCACCCGCTCGCACCGCCACTACGATCTGAAGGGACCCCCGCCAAGGGCGGCCCCACCGCAGCCACAATCGGGGACTACTGGCGGGAAGCAGCTGGGTCTGCCCTCGGCCCACGCCGCGGGGAGAGCCCCGGACCGCAGAGGAGCGGAGGCAGCTACAGCGGCTGCCGAGCTGGCACGTCGGGAGTTCTCTCTGGGGCGAGGGCTCAGCACAAACGC